ACTTCTTAAATCCAAATTTCCGATAAATATATTAATGTCTCAATTGAAACTTATTTAATAAATCATTTGCAGATGGAAACCCATAATGTAATTATTTCTAAGAGATGTCAACTCAACAAGCACATGAAATTCACAAAAAATTCAAAGTAGCAATTACACCAATTTATCATATAAAATAAATTCGACAACCAGAGAACGAGGCATGACAAATAAGGATTTAATAAGTACCAGCAATTTCTAATTTAATACTTAAAAATGCCTACGACATTAAACCAATAAAATTTGCACATATAAGCCCGATTACGTATGCGTCACTTCGCGTACATGACTTTCACATTACACAAATGGCACATACAACTCAATGCCTAAGGGGTAATTTTTTCACTCAAGGTTAGGCAAGATACTTACCTTTTTGAAGTTAGGCCGATATTCCTAAAAAGCCTTCTTGCTTGAATTGACCTCCGTACAACTCAAATCTATCCAAATTAATTATATAACTTCATTAAAATTCATCAAAAAAAATTCTGGATAATATAACGTCGACTTAAAATTTCACATTAAAAAGTCAACGCGGGGCCCGCCTCTCGGAACCCAACTGAATTTTTAAGAAATTCGAACATCCATTCCGATACGAGTTCAATTATACCAAATTTACCAAATTTCGATAACGAATCGACCTCCAAATCTTAAATTTTTGTTTTAAGAAATTTCTATAATTTTTCCCAAATTTCAATCTCAAAATACTAATTAAATGAAGAAAATAATGATATATTCATGTGTATTAACCAAATCCGAGTTAGAATCACTTGTCCTGATGATTTTCTTGAAACTCCCACGAAACATCGCCACAAACCGAGCTCCCAAAGTCTGAAAATAAAAAGTGAGATGAAAACCTCGTTTATATGGTACCACATCTGACTTCCAAAGTGTTGACCGCACATTTAAGGTCTCTGCTGCCGCAATCCAAATTGTGCGGCCGCACTTCAGCAGCCGCTAAACTACCAGGCTTCAGTAAATTGACCATAACTTTCGTTTTTGGATCATCTCCAAATTCCTTATAGATCAAAAGATATAAGCTTCCGAAGTCGGACCATCGAATCTGCAGAAATCTCAATTCTGCGGCCGCGAGAGGAATTCTGCGGTCCGCACAATTCCTCTGCGGTCCGCACAATTCCTCTGCGGTCCGCACTTTTCCTTTGCAGTCCGCACTTTTCCTCTGCCTCATCACTCCAAAATGTGCCCCCCGCACTTCCAAAGTTCCAGAACAACATCAGATTGCCGAAATGGACAGACTCTCTCAAAACTCACCCCGAAATACAACCGAGCTACTCGAGACCTCAACCAAACATATCAACAAGTACTAAAATATAACGCGGACCTGTTCGAGGCATCAAACCACATCAAACAACCTCGAAACTACGAATCGCACCACAAATCGAACTCATAAATTTCCAAATCTTCCAACTTCCAAAACTAGTGTCGAAACATATCAAATTAGCCCGGAATGACGTCAAATTTTGCATGCAAGTTCCAAATGATATATCAACTCTCGGAATCAAATTCCGACCCCGATATCACCAAAGTCAAGTCCCGGTCAAACTTCCAAACCTTCCAATTACAATTTTTGCCATTTTAAGCGAAATCAACTACAGACTTCCAAATAAATATCCGGCCACACTCCTAAGCCCAAAATCACCATACGGAACTATTGAAACTATCGAAATTCTATTTCACAGTCGTTTGTTCAAAATTCAACTCCCCGATCAACTCTTTTCTTGTAAACTTCTTAAATAAGAATTGTTCTTACAATTTGATCCTGAATCGTCCGAAAACCAATTCGACCACATACGCAAGTCATAATACACCGAGATGTTAAGTCATAAAATGAGATGCTAATTCATAAAATGACAAGTCAGGTCATTATAGACCGCATGTACGATCTGATCTTGTAAGCCGAGTTGTTCTACGACCCTTGATCTGATGATGTTGGTTGCGCTACCTGGATCAATTAACACATACTTAATTCGACATTTATTTAGGAGTACCGATATTACTAGTGCATCATTGTGGGGCTGCACGATCCCCTCAGCATCTTCGTCGTTGAAAGACAAGGTTCTTTCCGGTACGTAATCCCGAGTCTATTTTTCAGTTGTGGTGGACACTTTGGTGTGCTTCAGCATCGGACCTTGGGGAATGTCGACTCCACCAATGATCATATTAATGACGTGCTGAGGCTCTTCCTGCTTTGTCTTCTTATTAGTGCCCCTGTTCCTGAAGTGGTTCTTGGCCCTATCACTCAGGAATTCTCGAAGATGCCCTTGCTGAATAGTCGGGCCACCTCTTCCCTTAATTGTCGGCAGTCTTCTATTCTGTGGCCATGAGTGTTGTGATATTTTCACATTAGGTTGGGATCCCTTTGGGCTGGATTAGACTGTAAAGGTATAGGCCACTTGGTATCTTTGATGCGTCCGATGGCAGATACGATAGCGGCGGCATCGATGTTAAAGTTGTACTCCGATAATCTTGGCACTTCTATAAGCCCGACGGGCCTGTCAAAGCTGTTTTTGCTCATGAGTCCCCGGTTGTTCTAACCTCGATTACTTCTCATTTTATTTCTCAGAGAGTTCCGTCCGGACCCACTGCTTCTTTGGTCCCCATTGAACGGCTGATACCGATCCCTGTTTGATCTCGGTTCACAATCGATGTCTCTCTTGACTCTATCGATGGTTCTAACGGGATATATAGACTTGGAAGGGGGACCAAGATGATCATCTTCAACCCTGATTTTTGATTGATACCGGTTATGGACATCGGCCCAAGTGACAGCCGGATATTCCACCAAGTTTTGTTTCAACTGTTGTGAAGCCAACGAGCTCTGAATGTTGAGCCCTTGGGTAAAAGTCTGAACGGCCCAAGAGCATCTCATTATCCTTAATTTTTACTTTGAAAAGGTCCGACCGGTGGTAGGTCCATCCGTTCCATTTGAAACTGGAACACGAACTCTATGAGCATCTCATTATCCTTAAGTTTTACTTTAAAAAGGTCCGACTTCCTGGTCTCGACTTTGATAGCCCTGGCGTGTGCTTTCACGAAAGAATTTGCAAGCATAGAAAATAAATCAATAGAATTAGAAGGTAAGTTGTGATACCATATCATAGCTCCATTTGATAGGGTCTCTACGAACGTTTTCAACAAGACAGACTCGATCTCATCATCTTCCAAGTCGTTCCCTTTGATGGCACATGTGCAGGAGGTAACATGCTCATTTGGGTCGGTCGTTCCGTTGTACTTAGGAATCTCGGGCATGCGGAAATTCTTAGGGATCGCTTTGGAGCCGCGCTCTGAGGAAAAGACTTTTGCATGAACTTCTTGGAATCCAGGCCTTTCAATATTGGCGGTGCGACTGGGATTTGGTCGACCTTAAAATTATAGGTTTCTACCTTTTTGTCATTAGTTTCGGTTTTTCTTTCCCCTGATTCTATCCGTTTTGTCAGTTCCTCGAGCATCTTTGCGATCTCGGGGTTATTCCCCGATTCGTTTTCATTCAACCTCTCTGCAACCGGTTCATCATTGCGGGTTACTTCCCGGGACGGATCAGGTTCCATTCTGCAAGGTGCGCGGTTTTGGTTCTGTAACTTATCTATCACCGCCTGTTGAGTCTGTAATATTTTGAAGATCATCCATAAATTGATCCTGTCTCCTCCAATATTTTGTGTATTTGAGCTTCTGATCGGGCTCCACCACGGATGCTATTCTCGGGATCGGTTGGCAAGTTTGCGTTGATAGCCACATGTGAATTAGCATCGATCAGGTCCGCGACTGGAATTCCGATGGGATCAACAGGCGATACCTCGTTAGTGGGCACTATGTTGTTATTTTCACCTTGATGACCGGCCTCATTGTCAACATGTAGGGGTAGTGATTGAGAGTTTGGCATTTTGAGATTTAACCAGAAATTAGATACACTTCAAAAAACAAGTGTAAAGTAGTATGTTATGAAAATTTGTATCAAATAACCACTATTATCCTTAGCCCCACGGTGGGCGCCAAACTGCTTACCCTCAAAATCGGATAATAATTGAATTTGTAAGTGATTTTAAGGATACAAGGATTAACTTGATACAAAGTGATAAATTAAGTTGTAATTGAAATAAATAATGATAAAGTAAATTCAAACCACACGAATTGGACACTTTCAATCTCGGAAGGTTAGCCACCCTCGAGCCAGATACACTTTGATCAGTATCACGAGACAGAAGAACAAGTGTTGAAAGAGAAAATAACAATGTATTGCTTTGGAATGCGTGCTACAATATATTAAATGAATTATGAGACCCCCTTTATATAGTAGAAGAGTCCTACTTTAGATACATTTCTATAAAAGGTAAAAAATCTCTTGATTTTTCGATTGTCAGTTCCTCATTAATGCGTGTCGCGATTCCTGCCGTAATATCCGACTGGTCACGGATATTTCGGTCTTTTGTTATGCTAACAATGTTTCTTCGAGCTCGTTCGGGGCTAGGATCGATTTCGGGATCACGACCTCGATATTCGCGAAGGCGGGGGTTCCAACCCCGAATTCTAGCTCGGTGGGATTTGGAGTCGATCTTCAGTTCTTTATTGCCATGTTCCGAACCTGATCTACCATGTCGTAGACGAGCTCGATTTCGACCGTATACAATGTAATGTACGACTCATAATAATTGGCAATCGTATAAAAATGGATATTTTTATCTGTTCACACAGGCGGAACGAGTCGTGGAAAACTGAAATTTTTCTTCTCCACTTGAAATTAAGTATAATTTCTTCCCTTAACAAATATATTTATGACCCTCTTTACATGTGCCAAAGTATCACGGCATCAACCCACCAAATAATTAATTAAAGACACAGATGAGAAGAAAACTGGGAAGGGCAAATGCTGTACCAACTCAATCTATAAAATATGAGACGCCAAAGCCTAATTTCACATATCCAGTCAAGCAAACTGACCTCACGTTATGGAGCACCAGCACAAAGAAGCAACGATTCCTCACGTTCTCATCTTCCCTCTTCCAATGCAAGGCCCAATTAACTCTATGCTGCAGCTGGCCGAGCTCTTCTGCCTTTCAGGCCTGAAGGTCACCTTCCTCAACACCATCCACAACCAAGAACGTCTCCTCCGCCACACCAATGTCCAATCTCGTTTCGGGCAATATCCCGGTTTTCAATTCCTCGCAATACCTGATGGCCTTCCCGAGGAACACCCGCGCTCGGTCGAACAATTCGGGGACATTATCAGCTCCGTGCAGACCGTGGCGGAGCCTTTTCTTAGAGAAAATATGCTTAGAAGTGGAGCCAAAGAACCGGTGACATGTGTTATACCAGATGCCCTGTCTTATTTTGTGGTTGATATTGGAAATGAAATGGGAGTTCCAGTTATTCCCTTTGACACCATTAGCCCGTCCTGCCTTTGGGTTTACTTGTGTCTGTCAAAACTTATTGAATCTGGCGAGCTTCCCTTCGAAGGTACTCTCTCTCTCTCCCTCACTCATTTTTCTTTCTTTGTTTTTGTTTCGTAAATTCAAGTTAAATAAGATTACCACTATTTACCAGCACCCTCCCC